TGTACATGACAGAGGACCAGCATTGTTATCCCATTTTACAGACGAAAAAACCGAGATTCAGAGAGATTAAGCTAAGCTAACACAGTTCATCAGAGGCAGGGTAACAATTCAAACCCAGATTTCTGGATTCAAGTCCAGTTTTCCTTCTATTCCACAACAAAACATGTTATGTTTTTCTAGCTCAGCATCCCTTCTGAGCTCACCTGAGGTTCCCTTTATTTGTTGCATACTTGACATGATTGCAAATGTAGTTAAACATCCCGTGGGCTGTGGTACAGTCTCGTGCATCAAACACCTGAAAGAAAAGCATTGTAGAATGATTTTCTCCTTCTCTGTTGATTCCTTCAACCCAGACCTATCCTTTTATTCTATTTTCTTCTACCTTTTTTTCCCCTTAATCATTATTCTCACTATTATGCATTTTAAACATCAGCATAGGACCACAGGACCGAGCAGTGAAAAGGAGTGTGGATTATTGTTTATCATTTATTATACTGTTCTAATCTAACTTTACATGGCTAGAGATTGTTTGAAACTAAATATTGCCCTGACAAATTTCTAGTCACGTAAAGTTAGATTTGAACAGTATAATAAGTGATAAATAATCCATATGACTTCAAAGATGAACTAGTCTGTAGAGGAATAACTTGACCAATAAAACCCATGAAATGTATTTTGCAAGCATCACAGAAGATCATGGATTTAACACTGAAGCAAACCTTTAGAGACCAACCTTCTCATTTTAAAGATGAGGAAACCAAGGCCCAGAGAGATTAAATGACTTGTCTAAGGCAATACTACTACTAATTATAATCATCATAATAATGGTAATTAGCATTTATGTAGCACATCAAAATTTGCAAAGCACTTTATAAATATCTCATTTTATCAACTTTGGGAGGTTGGTGTTGTTATCATCCTCATTGTACAGATGAAGAAACTGAGGTAGATGGAAGTCAAGTGACTCACCTAGGATCATACAGTTAGCAAGTGTCTGAGGTAGGATTTGAACTCGGGTTTTCTTGGCTACAGGTCCAGAGTTCTAAACTTCTCTGGCACCTGGCTGCAGGTATGCCCTTAGAAACGTGCTAGTCGCTCCTGTTAGGTCTCCTCTTCGACTTTATTTTATGGTCCATTTATCTCTGTTCATGGACATGGATTTAAATCTTGGCTCTGCCACTTGCAGATCTGTGACTTTGTTTTAAGTCACTTTCCCACTCTGGGTCCTCGGTTTCCTCATTTGTGAAATAAGGAGGTTGGACTCACTGACCCCTAAGGTCCTTTCCCTCCTTAAATCTATGAGCCTCCATATTACATTTCTTTCCATCATATAGGTGATCATAAAATCATAGCTCTAGAACCAGGAGAGACCTCAGAGGCTGTCTAGCTCAAGCCCCTCATTTTACAGAGGAGGAAACTGAGGCCCAGAGACAGGAAGGGACTTGCTCAGGGTCACAGAGTGGGATTTGAACCCCACTTCTCCAACCTCCAATCTAGCAGCCTTTTCCCTGAACTGCTCTTTGTTAGAGTCAGTCAGTGTTTCCTCTATCTTGGTTCTGCTGTCTTTGTCTCACATTATTTCATAAAGTTCTTTCTAGATTTCTTTTTATTCCTCATAGTGATTTATTCCATGATCTTGATACAGACATGATTTGTTCAACCATTTAGACTTAACCTTCTAGGTGCCTGGGGCCATGTTGGAGCACTTTCTTATTATAGTCTTCAATGTAAGGTCCCACTGCTCCTTCCTCTCATCAAATCCCATTGTCATCCAGATCTGGGGAAGGAGGGAGGGAGGGAGAAGGAGAGGGAGAGGCAAAAGGAGAGAGAGAGGGAGAGAAAGGAGAGGAGGGAAGAAAGAGAGAAGACAGAAAAAGAGAGGGGCAGAAGAGGGAAGAAAGAGAGATAAAAGAGAGAAGGGGGGGAGAGAAGAAGGAAGAGAGACCGGAGAGAGAGAGGGAAAGGGAGAGAGAGAGAGGGAGAAGAAAAGAGAGAGGGAGAGAGAGAGAAAGAAGAGGAGGGGAGAGAAAGTGTATTGTGTGTATATGAGAGAGAGAGGAGAGAAAGAGAGAGAGAGAGAAAGAGAAGAGACAGAGAGAAGAGACAAAAAGAGAGAGGGGGAGAGAGATGGAGAAGAGAGAGAAATAAAAGAGAGAGAAAGAGGGGAGGGAGAGAAGAGGTAAGCAAGAGGAGGAAGAGAGAGAGAGAGGGAGGGAGGGAGAGAGAGAAAGAGAGAGAGAGAAGAGAAGAGAGAGGGAGAGAGAGAAAGAAGAGAGGGAAGTGTATTGTGTGTATATAAGAGAGAAAAGGAGAGAGAGACAGAGACAGAAAGACAGACACACACAGACAGAGAGACAGAGACAGAGAGAGAGACAGAGATAGGGACACACACACACACACACACACACACACACACACACACACACACACACACACAGACCTGGCACTCACCTGCAGCTTGGACCACTGGATCCTGCCCACACAGCGAGAAGCATTTCTCCAGGCATGTTTAGCTCCATAGATCAGCTCTGTGTCCTTCAGCTGGTAGGTGCTGGTGGTTTCTATCTCCCTGTTCACTTCTTCCAGTCTATCTGTGTGGGCTTTGGAGCCAAATCTGAGTGGGAAGAACAGATGGGGGAGGAGGGGGGAAGTCACTGATATGACCTAGCAGTGGCAGGGTTCACACGTGCTGTCCAGAGATGCACAATGTTTTCCTCAGTTTAACCATACGCTAGAAAGTCAGAGACATTGAGGCTCTCACATCGGTTAGCAGCTGACTATTCCTCACCCTAGCCACCCCCTCCTTTCTTCAGCACTTTAAGGGTCTGTAATTCTGCTGGGTTTGTTGGAGAGGTACTGTGTTAAAGTGGCTGCACAGTTGGCCTCAGAGTTGGGAGTCCTGCTTCAAGTCCGCCTTCAATGTATATGGTTTGTGTCATCCTGGCCAAATCACTGCATCTCAGGTGCCCCAGGCACCAATCTTAAAACTGTAAGTTGTAGAGCAGCAGCTCATCCCTGTTGGTAGAAGAAATTTCCATACCAGGAGTTCCTGATCCTGGTAAAATTTCAGTCCAAAAATTTTGTTGGTGTAAGTACTCCCCTCCCTTCCCTCCATCCCAATTCAGATTGCAATCCCTCTATATTTTAGTCTTTGGGAGCTGGGGTCATTGAAAAATTAATTACTCCATGATCCACTTGGGGATTAGGTAAGTTCTAAGACCAGCTTGGTTGGTCTCCAGACCCTAAATATACAGTTCACCACTAGGTCTTCACTCAGACTTGACAGAACTTCTGTCTCACTGGCATAGATTTCTAGAACTGGGAGTCATTTGTAAATCATAATGAGTCATCAAAGGAGGATGTCAAATAGTAGAGGATACCTCTCCTACCTGATAGAAAACCTCATGATCCCCAGGGTTTTTTCCTTTCTTTCATTCATTCAACAACCATTTATTAAAAGAAGAGCCCTGTGCTGGGGGAGACAACTTAGCTACTTAAGGTCCCTGTTCTCATGGAGCTTAACCATCAAGCCAGGGGATAAGACAACAACCCAGAACATTGTGTTAAGTACACCAGATAACGTGCAACTTCTACTTGCCTCTTTATAGATGAATAGTATTGATCAATGAACTCTTTGGCCAAGGGAAAGAGTTGTTCTTTTGTCCGGATATCCTCAGGCTTCCGTATATGTTGGGAGGGGAACATGATAGAACCCATGCAAATCTGCCCAGTGCAAGCTGTGTTCTAGAGAGAAAGGAGAGAAACAGAGTAAGGATTCTGCCAATGAAATATGGATAGTGAATGCTTTTGTTTGGCTTGTCTTCCCCCCATTAGAATGTAAGCTCCTTGAGGGCAGAGACTGTCCTCTTCTCTTCTCTTCTCTTCTCTTCTCTTCTCTTCTCTTCTCTTCTCTTCTCTTCTCTTCTCTTCTCTTCTCTTCTCTTCTCTTCTCTTCTCTTCTCTTCTCTTCTCTTCCCTTCTCTTTTTTTTCTTCTTTCCTTTCCCCAATACTTAGTCTTGCATTTGGCACATAGTAAATATGTAATAAGAACTTGTGGTCTGCTTGCCTGCCTATGGCCAAACTGAGGGCCCTGATGGTCATGGAGGCATATGCTTGGGTCCCTGATTGTTAAGCCAGATTTTAGCAGCATCAGCCAGCCTCACAAAATTGTCAAAGGTAAGTTGATATGGGGGGGGAAGAACAAAAACAAACCTTCTTCTTGGAGTCAGGGGTCTGGGTTTGAATCCTGGTTCTGAAATTTACTAGCCTAACACTTATAGTGGGTGAGTTTGAACCTCAGTTTCCTCATCTGCATAACAAGAAAAATAATATTTGCTCATCTACCTCACAGAAAGAAGGGCTTTGCAAACTGCAACACGCTATAGAAATATGCATAGATTTAGAACCAGAAAGAACCACAGGGGCCATCTGGTTCAATTGTATCATTTTACAGATAATTTTACAAAGCAATTGAGTCCCAGAGAGGTTAAGATTTGCCAAAGGTCACACAGGGAGTAATCTGCAGAGTCTAGATTAGAACCCAAATCAGAAGCAAATTCAATGCCTTTTTTATTCTACCATGGTCATCCCATAAGGAGACAAGGCTGTGTTAAGATAGGTATGTCATCCAGGAACATGGAAGGGAGTGTCTCTTTGGACTCTGCCCTAGTCATATCGTATCTAGTCTGGAAGGACCTAAATAAGTGATCATCTGGTCTGACCTCTTCATTTTACCAAAGTAGAAAAATACAAAAAAGCTTGATTTCCCCACTGAGGAGAAATTGTTTGCCCAGCATCACACAGCTAGTGGTAAAGTCTGTATGAGCATTCAGCTCCCCTTATTGCACTCGCCTGTGCTTTTTGTACTATGCCACACTGCTGCTGCTTGGAGGTGGTACTTGGTAACATTCTGGGCACCATATCTGAGAAACAACATGGATAAGATGGAGAATTTTGGAGGACAGTAACCAAGATGGTGAAGGCCCTCCAGTTTATACCGCATGAGATCTATCCAAAAATCCTGGATTTGGAGTCAGAGGATCTGGGTTCAAACCCTGGCCCTGTCACCCTGGTGACCTTGGACAATCATGCACTGTTATGGGCCTCAGTTTCTTCATCTGTTAAACTAGATGAATTGCAAAGTCTTTTTTTTAGCTCTTGATTTATGATCCTCTGAATTGGGGATGTTCAGCCTGGATAAGGAAGACTGAATAGGGACTTGATAGGCATCCTTGAACATCTGAAGGTCTGCTCTGTGGAAGGTGGATTACACTTGTTAAACCAAGTAGGTAGAACCAGGTGCAAAGGTGGGAGGGAGTTATACAGAGGCAACATTGATATCAAGAAAAGCTTCCTAATCGTTAGAGCTGTCCAAAATTGAACTGGACTGTCTCTTAACTTTGTATTGGGATATAATTGGAATGGGGGAGGTAGAAGGTTTCCCTTTACTGAAATTCTTCCCACAAAGGCTGGATGACCACTTACTGAGGATGAATTTTTCTTTTTTTATTTAAAAAATTTTTTTTGAGGATGGATTTTTAGGTATGGCGTGGATTAGACATCCTCCAAGGTACCTTTCCTGCTCTAAAAGTGTGATTCTATAAGGAGATTTCCTCCCTAGGGAGAGGAAGGAATTCTCTTAGGGCATCACTAAATGACATGTTGGGGGTTCTAACACAGCTCATTTAACATAGCCAGAGGGAAGGCAGGGAGGCCCTTACTTTCTAAGAATAACTTACTCAATTACTGTCTCTATGGAACAGGGCCATGGTTACTGAACATTTTTTGCCCAGGACTGTGAAGCAAGGGGAGTTGAATTCTCAGCAGGGCTCTGCCACTAACTACCTAGGTGATATTGGGCAAATAATTTCCTTTCAGTGGGCCTCAGTTTCCACTTTTGTAAAATGAAGTGGTAAGACCAGGTTATTCCTTAGGTCTCATCTGGCTCAAACATGCTGTGATTTTATGAAACCACTTAGCAACATCTTTCCTAAAATGTGGTGCCCAGAACTGAGCACTGTGGTCCAGACATAGTTTGAGTTAGACAATGGAAGCGGTTGAGTGAAAGGTAAATGAGATTGGTAGAAGTGAGTCCATAGGCAATAGGGAAGATTCCTAATTAGAATAATTAGAATTATCTTCCAGGGTTGTTTCAAGGATCAAATGAGATAATATTTGAAAAGTACTTTGCAAACAATTAAAGCGCTATATAAATGTTAGCTGTTGTGATGATGATGATGATGATGATGTAGGAAGGTTAGTCAAGCAGAAAGTGTTGCGGGGAGAGAGAGAGAGGAAGTAGGGAAATCAGTTAGGACACAGGTTTGAAAACAGCCCTGGTGTAAGGTGATAATGGCTTGAACTAGGAAGATGGTGGTGTTGTTTGTCCTTTGTTTTTGAAGAGGACCAATGACATAGTGGGGTGCTGTCTTGACTTGTGCATGAATTGGATTTAAGTGAGGCAGAATTGCATGAAGTCCTCAGCCTCACTCTCCCTTCTAGAGTCATTGAAGTTCAGTGGCAGGACAGAAGTCAGGATGACTAGTGATGGCCTGGGGTTCAGTGGATGACCTTGGGGTCTTTGATGCCTTATCAAAGTCTAAGTGCTCCACAGCACCTGCTTCAGCCACCTTCATGGCCACTGAAACAAATTATTCTCATCCTCTCATTCTGCCAGGGGAAGTCTTCACCTGCTTGGGGTAGACATCCCCCCCCCCCCACTCACCAATGGGTTTGAGGCTTGTTACAAGGAGGAAGAGATCCCTAGGCAGAGATCTTATAGGAGGGCTTGCTTACCAAGGTGCTCTTGAGGTGGAGCGTGTCATTGAGGACCACATCTGTTTCCCAGTTCTTGACTTTGAGAAAGCGAGGACATTTGGTAGGACTGCCATTCTTGGTGGGTGACTGTCTTCCCGAGGTTGGGGCTAGAAAAAAGAACAAAGATGGTGCATCAGAGAGTAGAATCCGGGGGCAATTAGTGGAAATTATTTTTCTGGAAGGTGGGCAGCTAGATGGGGCAGTGGATAGAGGGCTGGGCTTGGAGTCAGGAAGACTCACCTCCCTGGGTTTCAATCTGGTCTCAGACACTTATTAGCTAGCTGTGTGACCCTGGGCAAGTCATTTAACCCTGTTTGCCTCAGTTCTCTCATCTGCAAAATGAGCTAGAGAAGGAAATGGCAAACCACTCCACTATCTTTGCCAAAATAATCCCAAATGCAATCATGGTGAGTCTGAAAAGACTGAACAACAATGACATTTTTCTGGATACCAGTGTGATACAACAGAAAGAACACTTGGTCTGGGGTTAAGGGACCTGGATTAAATCTTGACTCTGTGTGACCTTGGGCAAATCATTTAACTTTCCTGGACTTTAGCTTCTCCAACAGAAAAATGAAGGTATTGGACTCAGCAGGCTTTGAGGTTCCTTCCAACACTAGATCTATGATTCTATGATATTGTGTAAGACCCTTAATGTCTCAGGGCTTCAGGCTGGGATGGGATGACCTCCAATTTCTCTTCCAACTCTCACTCCATAGCTCTAGCATTTCTAGCATTCTGGTAGAGAGTACATTGGATTTGAATGCCTGGGTTCAAATCCTGACTCTGCTACTTACCACCTATATTACCTTGGGCAAGTCACTTCACTTCTCTGAGACTCAGTTTCCTTCTTTGTAAAATGGGAAAATTGGACTAGATCAGAGATTCTTCCCCTTTTTCGTGTTATGGGCTCCTTAGACCTGGTGAAGCCTACGTTCTAGCTCTCAGACTTATTTCACAATTCGCAAAATAAGATCACAAAGGAAACAATTATATTGAAATATATTTTTTAAATATTAAAAAAACAAGTTCTCTCTATATATACATATATATATACCTACATACATACATATATGTGTATATATATGTGCATATATATATGTGCATATATATATACAACCCAAGTTTGTGGACCTCAGGTAAGAATCTCTGTACTAATACCCTTTGACCCAGCAATGCCACTTCTATGGCTGTATCCCAAGAGATCATAAAAATGGGAAAAGGACATATGTGTACAAAAATATTTATAGTAGCTCTTTCTGTTGTAGTAAAGAAATGGAAAATTGAGGGGATGCCCATCAATTGGGTAATGGCTGAACAAGTTGTGGTATATGAATGTAATGGAATATTATTGTGCCATAAGAAATGATGAGCAGGCAGACTTCAGAAAAATCTGGAAAGACTTGAATGAACTGATGCAGAGTGAAATGAGTAGAACCAGGAGAACATTGTACACAGTAACAACAACATTGTGAGATGACTGACTTTGATAGACTTAGCTCTTCTCAGTAATGCAAGGATCTAAGACATCTCCAAAAGATGCATGATAGAAAATGCTATCCATATTCAGAGAAAGAATTATGAAGTCTGAAAGCATCTTATTTGCCTTTTTTTCTGTTTTGTTTTGTTTTGTTTTTCTTTCTTTCTTGTGGTTCCTCCTATTGGTTCTAATTCTTCTTTACAACATGACTAATGTGAAAATATCTTTAACAGGAATATATTTGTTGAGCCTATATAAGATTGCATACTGTCTTGTGGAGGGAGGTGGGGAGGGAAGGGAGAAAATTTAAAACTCAAAAGCTTATGGAAGTGAATGTTGAAAACTAAAAATTAATAAATTAATTAAAAAAAATTTCTGCACTAGATCATCTTTATGGCTTCTTCCAGTTTGAGATCCTGCTCTGTTGGACCCCTAAGAAAACATATAAACCAGCTCCCCCAACCAATACCAACAAGGAGAATATGACTCTCTCATAGCATTTATCATTTGCCTTGTATTGCATCCAAGACTTCATTTCTCCTATTAGACCATAGGGTCCTTGAAGACAAGAACCATGTCTCATTAAACTCTTCATACCAAGGGCCTTTATACCATCATGCCTTTTACCTACTGGGCACTTGATTAAACATTGAATGTGATAGGTATCAAAAGGTTAAGGTATAGTTTGGGGGAAGTTCCTGCCAGCTCTAAATACATGATCTTAAAATTAAATGAAAAAAAAATTAAATATATGATCCTACGGTTCTGTTCCATCACTCAGCACCTACACTTATCAGTTATGTGACCATAGATATCACCTTCCCTTCTTTGAGGTTCTTTGGGAAAATGGTGGGGTTGGACTCAGTGACCCCACGGTCTGGATCAGCTCTAAATCTATGATTCTTTTCTACTTGGACAGAAGCTTCTCTCATTACTCCTTATCTCAACATCTTGGGCAAATCACTGAGGAATTATGGGATTTTTTTCCCTCCTCTATAAATAAAGGGGCTCAGACTAGATGACCTCTAAGGTCCTTCCCAACTCTAGGTCTAATTTCCTATGAACAGTTCAGCAAATATTGGGGAAGCAGGAAGTTCTGGGTGCTGGGGGTACAAAAGTGAAAATAAAACAGCATCATCCCTGCCCTCAAGGAGTTTACAGTCTAGTGTAGCTGAGGAAGGGGTGAATTCTCATGTACTCGAAGAGCTCACAACTCACAGTGACTTAAGAAAGATGAAGAGGGCATGCTCATTGCTAACTCAGTGGAATTAGGGACAGCCTCATAGAAGAAGGGGATCCTCTTCTGGGATCTCAGAGGAAGAAAGAATGGGAGGTCAAGAGGCAGAGATGAAGTCAAGGGTGGGGTGGTGGTGGTGGTGGTATCTCTTCTAGGCATGGATGGATCAGACAAAAGGAATGCTGTTTGGCTGGGGAGTATGTGAAAGGGAGAAAGTTTAAAAAAATGAATTTGGAACCACACTGTGTAGTAGGGTCATGAATGAATGAATGAAAAAAAAAATTCATATGCACTTGTCAAGCATTGTGAACACAAATCCTAAAAGCAAAATAACCCTACTTTCAAAGACATCCCATTCTAATAGGGGATGCAAGACATTTAACCCAAATATCAAGCAAAAGAGTTAATGCTTTTTAAAGCAGACATTGGGGAGCCCCTGAAAGTTGTTGAGAGAGAAAATGACCTAATTATTACTCTCTATGCGTGGAGACCATCTTCTGGGCTTATTCTCAGTGTGTCAAGCAGGTTGTGTGCTGCTTTCCTGTGTTTGATTTTTTTTCTTAGCCAGAGGTCAGGTTTCTGGAGGATTCTCCTGGGCTATCAGATTATGGGATCTCTGGGTTCCTTTCTATAAGTCAGAAGCCACAATTCAGACAGATAACCAGGGAAGAGAACAGTCTGAATTAGTAAGCACAGAATATTTGTAATGAAATGGCGCTCATTCATTTTTTTTTTAGAAGCAAAACAGATGCCCACCAACAGGAGAATGACTAAATTAGTAGTGGTACATGAATGAAATGGAATATTGTTGCACTATGGGAGAGGAAGAAGAAGAATTAAGAGAAGCATGGGAAGACTTATATGCACTGATGCAAAATGAACTAAGCAGAGCCAGGAAAACAATAGACACAATTAATTCAATAATTTATATGGAAGGAAGAAACAACAAAAATCCTGAAATCGAATGTTGAGTGTAATAATGATCAAGCTAGGCCATGAAGAAGAGATGAAAAAATTCACTTTCCCCCGTTCTTGGAAGAGATAGGGGACTACAGGTATAGAACATCGCATATGTGTTGTTTAGTTTTGAGGAATTACTTTTTTCTTCTCCCCTCTTTTAAAAAATTTGCTAAAAGGTATGGCTCTCTGGGAGAGGAAGGAGGTGTATTTGGAAATAGTGGTGATGTAAAATTGAAATCTATAAAATATTTTTAAAAGAAGTAAGCCCATTCATTAATTAAGCAACATTTATTAAATGCCTACTATGTTCAGACCACTGTGTGAGGCACTGAGAGGGATTTTTTTTTGGACTAGATCTGTAATTTCATTGATATAAAGAACTTACCAGTGAAGGAAATTCCCTTAGCACATGCTCTGTAACTTGTAGGCAACTGCCTAGGGCCTTAGAAGTTAAATAGTTTGCCCATAGTCAGTATATTTCAGAGGCAGGACTTAGGTACTGTCTTAAGAGACTGATATGGATACACAGGGAACTCTCTAACCAACTTAGGTTTTAAATGTCCAGAAATTGGAAGCTGGGTCAAGTAAGAGGATAAATGAAAGAACAAGGAACAGTCATTTAAAAATAGCATCAGAAATGTTAAATCTCAGGGAAGCTGATGCTGGTGAAAAAAGCTAAGGATAAAAAGGGGTTTTTTTTAAGCTATATTGGGAGAAAATGGAGTTTAAGGGGAGAGATAGGACCTTGAATTGGCATGGATGGAATGATGACAGTGGACAACAGAAAGCAGAGATGCTTGATTTTTATTTTGCATCTGTGTTCTCTGCCAAGAAGATGACCTTTGCCCTTGAAGGACAGAGCAAAAATGGCTAAAGGGAGTTGATAGTCAAGATACGTAAGGAAAGAGTAAGAGATCAGCTAGCTGTTCTGGATGAATTCAAGTAGTCTGGCTCTGCTGAATTTCATTCAGGGTACTGAAAGCATTTGAAGATACAATTATCCAGCCATTGTCAATGAGAAGTGAAGGACTATGGAAAGAGGGAGAGGTACCATAAGATAATATTTGTAAAGCATTTTAGCATAGCACCTAGCATAAGGTAGGTGCTTAAGAAATGATGGTTAAAAATATTGGAAAAGAGTAAATGTTACTCTAATTTTTAAGAAAGAAAGAGAACAGGCTTCAAACTATATGCCAGGGAATTTGCATGTGAATCCTGGGGAAATTCTAGCAAAGTCCATTAAAGAAATTGTTAGTGAATATCCAGAAAGGGAAGCAGTAATTATTGGCTCTATCGAGAATGCTAGATCGTACCAGACTAACCTCATTTCCTCTTTTTTAACAGGCTTACTGAACTAATAGAGAAAAGGAATTCAATGGATACATTTTACCTAGATTTTAGCAAAGCTTTTGACAAAGTATCTCACGTCA